AGGGACTGAGCACAAGTGCTGTGAGGAGAGGCTGAGGGAGCTGGGGGTGTTCAGCCTGGAGAAGAGGAGGCTCAGGGGAGACCTTCTCACCCTCTGCAACTCCCTGACAGGAGGTTGGAGTCAGGTGGGGGTTGGTCTCTTCTCCCAGGCAACCAGCAACAGGACAAGAGGGCACAGACTCAAGCTCTGCCAGGGGAGGGTTAGGTTGGATATTAGGAAGAGATTTTTTCCAGAGAGAGTGCTCAGGCATTGGAATGTGCTGCCCAGGGAGGTGGTGGATTCACCATCCCTGGAGGGTTTCAAGCTGAGACTGGATGTGGCACTTAGTGCCATGGGCTAGTGACCACGGTAGGGTTGGACTCAATGATCTTTGAGGTCTCTTCCAACCTGGTTGATTCTATGATTCTATGATAACCCAGGAACCGTTTCCTTGCCTCCTTCTGTTTGATATCAGGCTGTGAATTCTCCACAGAGGTAAACTTTGCATAGATGTAATTTGCAAACCTCATCACTGCAGAGCAAGTAATGAAAAAATTATTTTCCTATTCCTCAGTTTATCCACCCATAAAATGAGATGGCTAAGGCTGCCTCAGAACCACTCATAAAGTACCTTTGAATCCCAAAATAAAAGTGTCGATTAATTCCAAATTATTATTACTCACATATACCGTATATATTAGTTTAAGCCTTTTAAGTCAATTCAGCTTTAAAAAGAATTGTTATTTGAAATAAGCCACCCTTCCCCTACTAAAAATCACCATATTCAACTGAGAGAGTTTTTAGGAAGGATAAGAAGCCAAGAAAATTCTTTAGTCTTTTAGATCTTACCTCAGAAATAAAAGCACCGACACTTTTCACATGTTTTAGCTGCGGGGTGTCAGGTACAAATATGCACTTGCCTTTAGATTTTTTAAACTCTTCTTTATAGTGTATCTACAAAGAGGAGAAAAAAAGAAGGGTAATTGTTCTTTGAAAAAAAAACACAGAAAAATAAACAATGGCTATTTTTATTTCTATTTTT